ACATGAAGCTTTTTTTAATAAGGGTATTTTTGGTCATTAGGAGGGGGTGTGACATAATCCACATGGGGTATGACATCACCACATGAACCACAGTAGTGGCATTTAATGCTTCATGTAGATGACGTCACACTCCATGTAGATGACGTCACACTCCATGTGGCTGATGTCACACGTCATCCACATGGGGTGTGACATTACCACATGGAGCACACTAGTGGTATTTAATGCTCCATATAGATGACGTCACACTCCATGTAGATGACGTCACACCCCTCTTAATGACCAAATATACCTTTATTAATAGGAAGCTCCATGTACAAAACAAGGGTATATAAGTGTCCAACTTTTGAGTCTGATGATAAATTACTCCATAATGTGAGCACCCTAACATAACCCTATATATATATATATATATATTAGGGCGAAGAGGATAATCTACAGATCATTTTTATTAGAAAATTTTTGGTGATCATGAGGCATGGTTGAGACCTGAAAAAGTATAACTTAGTCACAAACATTACATTGTGCACATTCAATGAAGCTGATATCTTAAGTTAACATAGTGAAGTATACTCAAAGGGCGAATCCACCTAAGGATTCATGTCATTAGAGATTAGCTTTTTTACTTAAAAGTCAATCAAGGGGCAATCTGTTGCAATTCAGTTGGCATCCCATGCAGGGATGCATTTCCATTTATTAATTGAGCCAGTTACAAATATCCCTAATGAACTGGTCCTGACCTGGACTCATGAGGAGGGTTCAGAGCTACTGTTTTAATGAGCCTACAGGCCAGTTCAATAGTATATTGTCATGACATCGTCCTATTCAGTATTTAAGTATACAAATGATAGGGACAATTGTTCTTATTGATTTGTTTGTGGCAAGTTCTCTTCTTTCTAGATTTAATTGTGGAACAGGACAAGTTTTTGGTTGCTTATTTGCGATTGGCTTAGAAAACATTATATTCAAGCTTTAGACTGTATTCTGTTGCTTAAGACATTGTTTATAGTGTTTGATTTTTTATTGATGCATCATAGGCTAAAAATCACTCTCATATTGAATGGCTGTGCAGGTCCAAATTGTGTTGTACTAGGTCTTTTAGCCCAAGAGATAAAATTCGCAATGTGGTAGACGCTGTGTTCTTTTTTTGTCTCTTATGATTTCTTTTTGTTTCTTTATGTGTGCTTCTTGTTCTTAAGTCAAAAAATTCTTGTCCTCTATTATAAACTTTGTTGTTCAATATGTTTCTTTATTATCATGGGCATAGACCAGGCAAACTGAGAAGATTGGGCGTGGGAGTCCAAATGTTTATGGTCAGCAGGCCCAAGAAAGCATGATTGAGGTATTGTGCTGCTGTAAATACCACCTGTAGCTTCTTTTCTTCTGTCTTTAAGTGAATGGTCTTTATGTAAACCATGAGTAGTTTGATAGCCTGGTAGAGCATTATACGTTTTGTACAATTCAAATTTTGATTGCAAGAATGAGGATTGATTGATGATGATTGATCATTATAATTGTTATAGGATTTAGGTATTCAAGGTAGGTGTTATGGAAGCGTGCTACATAATGAAAGAAAAATCTCATACGGATCGACATTTCGATGTCGTTTGGTGTATGCCCTATTAACTATGCGAAGGAATTGTCTCATTCAAAATGACGTAAGGCAGTACTGTTGCAGTTCTTTTAGACGGCTTCTTGCATCAATGACACAAATACTACCTTTGATACTGAAACTAAAGAGCATGATATTCATTCAGACATGTGCAGATCATATTTCAAGAGAAGCATTTTTTGCTCCCTAAAATGATAATAAATTTCTATGTTTAGTAGGACCACAAAAAACTTTATCAGGGTTGAATTATATTGTAACAATAATTAGTGTGAGGGGCACATGTGAACCAGAGAAATGCAAATTATGTAACCTGAAAATTCAGTATGCTGCAATCAATCTGTATTCAACTTTAGTGCTGTAGAATGTGGTGCTCAATATTCTATGAGGAATGTCTGTCAGTTTCTTGCACCATCGGGGCTTTTTATTTTGCAGTCCAAAAATTGTTGATATGACATCAATATTTTCAAGGAAGTGTGGTTTGCAATGTTAGACACTTGAACTGCTCAACACTGCTGCTGGACTGCCTGCTTCTCTGGCTCCTTCCATCAATTCTTATATGATCCTTTACAGACAGACACTAAGGTTGCGAGCATATTTTTCCTATCGTAGATTGTTGTTGCCGTCGTTGTGTCTCAACATTATATTTGCTACATGGTGTATAATTTGAATTTCATGGGATAATGGGCATTCAATTTACTCATTTTATCCTTGATGGAAGTGATTTTATTTTTGCCTTTTTTCCATGTCATATACTATCATGATCTGGGGTACAAATATGAATTTGTCAAATACTTATTTTCCATCGAGAATGTGAGATTACGTTCTTAGTAGTTAATCTAAAGGTATACTAAAAGTCGCTTTTGTTTTCTTCTTTATTTTCCTAAAGAATGAGATGACTGAAGTTTTAGAGATCAGCCCAACTCTGAAATCCTCTCCTGGGAAACCCTCTCCACTTGGGGTATCAGAAACTGAAAATGGTATAAATTTCGCGATTTTCTCTCAGCATGCGTCATCTGTCACTCTTAGCTTGTCACTGCCTGAAGGGTAAGAAATTTTAATGCCATTTCCTGGAATCCATTGCCTTTATATTACTATTATTTATTTTAACAATCATCTTTTTAATTCGTCTTCCCTTCAATATTTCTTGAGGTTTGTTTTGAGGTCTCTCATTTAGACAATAGCTGTCCAGAGCCACTTTTCTCACCTTACGAGCTACCACTTTTGTATTTTACTCTGCTTAAGTTATGCAACATGAGATTCTAGATCTTGGATCGTCTTGCCTTTCTGCCAATTTGTTATTAGCCTGAGTGGAAGAGGTCATACAACAAAGAAGAGTATGCCACATCGTAAAAAATGATTGGTGTATGTTTGTGAGATGGGGCCTTTGTCAAACTATGTACACGTTGATTAGTTGTGTGTGAAACTTGAGTTATACCAGGATGAAGAAAATGAGACAAATAAGGAGTCACAAGATTCAAATTCTATCAATTGTCACTTATGTAGTGAGAACCAAATGCAAAGATCTTGGCTATGGAGTTAACTCATTGCCCCAAATGAATTAGGTAATTCAAAACCTATGTGTAAATGTCCCATTCCTTTTCAAATATGCATTTCAAACTGAGTTCTCAGATACACTAGGCTGCGTAACTTTGGGACATATTATTGTAACATATGGATAGTCCCCTTAAAGCTTAATTCATGGTGTTTTCTTAGAAAGAAAGTTAATGAATATATGGACCAGCAAAGTAATACAGTTAAAATTTTTTATTAGAGATCAAATAGTTGATTGACGTTGAGGAGACCCATTTTGAAGAACTGAATTTGATATAATGGCTAATGAATTGTGAATAGAGATCAAGTAGTGGATTGACTTTGAGGAAACCCATTTTCAAGAACTACATAATTTTTTCTTTTATTTTTTTTCACATGGAAGGGACTTATTATTATCATGTTGGCAGCATGTAGGCAGTTGTAATGATGACAAATTAGAAGGTGGTTGCTTCAATGTGATATTTAGGAGGCATATGCATATCTGCCCCTTTGATAATTTCCAAACTCTCAATGATAGACATGCACATGTTTACTGACCTGCTTATTCATATGCAAATGGCTATAAACTAAACTGACCCTCATAGGATGGAATTCATTTTCAAGATTGTTTTAAAGCATAACTCAAGAACATGCTTACATTGCATGAGATCATTCTATGTTTTCTTCACTTTTATTAAGATATTAACTGTCCCCGCAGCATTAAGTGCATGCAGCATGTGTTTTGTCAAGGATGAAGGGTTAATTTACTTTCTCCCAAAAGAAAAAGTTATGTAACCACGAATCTAATGCCCTAGATGTGCTGCTTTTGGAGAGCTAATAAGCCATGGTCTAATTATGGTCTCTTCGATTTAACAATTGAAGTATATCTCCACATCTCCAGTAACTCAAGCAGTCATATTCGAGCCTTTCATTGAGGGCTTCGAGTCAATGTGTTTTTTTTTAGAGGAATAAATGGCACTTTGCTTTGGTGACAACTTTAGTGCTCGGACTTATCTACAGCTGTTAAATTCAATGCTTGGTGACATGGTATTTGTTCTTGATTAGAAGAAGTAATATTCATTATTGATCTTAAAAGTTACTGTTTTATTTTTTGAAAAATTGTTATAATTTCAATAACTATTTGTTAATTGGATTCTTTTTGGTATTGATTATTTGATTGGCTTCCTAGGTACTTTGAACAGTTGGAACAAGACACTGTGATAGTGGAGATCAACTTGGATCCACATGTAAATAAGAGTGGAGACATATGGCATATCTGTGTGGAGGTATGTCTTATCTACTGTACCAAATTTCTTCTAGTGTCTAAAGAAGCATAGGAAATTTCCCTTCATTTGAAGTTAAAAACGGAAGAATTCCATTCAGAAAGAAAAATGTGTTTGTGAATATTTTGTCCTGGTCAATTTTTCTCCAGCTATTCTATATATATTTGATCTCGATCATCAACCCATCTAGGCCCATGTGGTTCATTACGTTTGTGCCCATGTGGTTCATTACGTTTGTGCGGCTGCTTTAAAAATAGTTGGGGTTTTATGTTTATGTGGATGTGTTTTTATTCTTCTTATATATATGTATTTCTATATTATCATTGTGCTTACAATTTAAATATTTAAGATTAGAAGTTATTACAAGGAATATTAATACTGCCTACCATGTTACATATCATAGTTTATGCAAAGTATTCGATAGCCATATAATTAAGTTATATGCACTGTGTGTTGAGATATAGCATGGATATGTCCATTTATTGTTTGAAACAATCAGGTACAAGTTTCTACACTCGATTTCAATATTCTTGTTGTGATTGAAGGTGATCGCCTTGTGATATTTGAGGAAATTTTTTACCTTTGTAATTTTGGGATGGTCTCATTCGATGACATCCTGAGGGGCCTTGTGAGACCTTGGATGGCCTTGCCAAGAGTGGTTTATGCATTCTGGAAGATGGTATTGTTTATTATTGGGATATTATCTTATAATAATTGTCTCCACTGTCACCTTAGCCTTTGTGTGGGGGACATTATTGTTTGTCATTGAGAGGTTGTCTGGATTGTCACCTTGATTTTCTTGCTTGCTTATGTTACTTTGATTTCATCTAGTCGCTATTGAAATCTTTATATCTGGTTAGGTAATAGATCATAATGAATTGTTAGTGGTAACCTTGCATTAGGGTGCTTTCCCTTTTGTTTGCTATCGCATTATGTTGCTCATTACTGTATTAATAAAACATCAAGCATTAGGAGATGATACAGTCTTTTTAATTAACCTAAAGGTTGGGGTAGAATCCAACAATAAAGAAACCATGGTGGCTTAAAAGGACACAATGTTTCTCAAATTAATATCAAATTGAGAGACAGATCATACAACTAGAATAATATACAAATATTTACAAAACCTAAAAATTGTTAGGGTGTTTTTGTCATTACTGTCGCAGTCACTGTAGTAATACTGTAGCAATCTTGGTGCAGTCCATGCGTCGTCAATGTTTCCATTTAATCACTCAAAACTCTAAATTTGTTTGGGGATTTATTGACTCCACTTATTTGCATTGGGGTTTTTGAAGCTGAATGAAAGAAGTTTCAAGTGTATCTAGGGTTTCAAGACATTTGTGGTTTCCTTGTATCAGCTATTATAGATCTGTTCTGCCAGTGTTTTGGGGCTTCATTCAAGATTTTTCCAGCATGCTGGGTTTCCTTAATGTATAGTTTTGTTAAAAACAGTGAGAGTAAAATTGATACATAGCCTGGTTCACTCTTCTCCGCTATCTGAAGTCCAAGTTGGTCTCCCTCTTTCAACAAAGGCCTCTGTCAAGTCATGCACCTCCCAGAAAACCCCTCCTCACTTGCTCTCCAGATGCTTACTTGCTGAGAATTCCAATAGATCTTGAAGTTTTGGTGGGAGACCATTCAAGGTTTCAACACCCAGCAACTCCAAGTATTCTGCTCTCAAAATAGACTGTTATATCTATATCATATCTACAATTTAAAGGAAACCAAAACATCATATCCAGAATTCTCCAATCCGGCTGCATAATTTAGGTTGAGTCCAGACTGATCTTGATGTTATCGTGAGCAATGAACCAACAAGCTGCTGATTGGAGATACAATTTGGACCTCACATAGATGTTATCCTGAGCAATAAACCAACAAGCTGCAAATTGGAGATACAATTTGGACCTCACATATGAAAGTTGGGGGTAGAATCAGCACGAATTGGATTTTTTGAGGAACGTATGGAGAGAGAATTCGAGCATTTTGATACCAATCTAAATTCTAAATTTTATTATGGCTCAACTTTAAATCTTTTTTGATATCATCCTCTTCTCAGTAAATAGAAGGCAGGGTCTGTACTAATTTCTCAAGTGTTTGAATGTAAAGTTGGCTAATTTCTAGTATATCATTCAAACATATTTTTTATTTTTCTCTTAGGTTCTTTATTGGTAAAAGTTGCATATATATCACTCTAGAACAAGGCACGAGGTTCATTATATGGTGTCTTTTGGTATCATTACCTGGTGACTTCTTCATTTGTTCTTTGTAGTTGAGTGAATTGGATCTCATGTTATCATCATGTGCATATTTGTGTTCATTCTGAAGTTTCTTCTGATTCATGTGGATGGTTCAAGTAAGTGCTTCTACCGATACTCACCCAATAAAAAAAAGTGCTTCTACCGATGACCATTATGCTCACTTGATTGCATGCATGTACCTCATACAATGCCTCTCCAATTCATTGTGTGCTTGAGGAGACTAGGATGGTTCTTTTGCAATATAGTTATATCAATTCAAGGAGTAATTGAGCTCTCTTATTGCTAGAGTCTGCTGAAAAATAGAGGGGCTTGATATGCTTGGTTTCGATATAATCATTTGGCTTTTTATGTTTTTAGAAATTGTGGAGTTTGGAAAGTAATTTTGAAGGTTGTCCATTCTGATTATCATCGGATGGTAATGAAGATTATGTCTGCTTTTGGACATTAACTATTGCTTCTGGTCCCTAAGTTTCACACTTAAATTAATTTCTTTGTGCTTAGTTACATGTTATTTCTGTAATTTTCCAGGATTTGCCAAGATATGGTGTTTTATATGGATACCGTGTTGGGGGCCCCCATGGATGGCAGCAAGGGCACCGTTTTGACTCCAACATCATTTTGCTGGATCCATATGCAAAACTAGTTGAAGGTCGTCGGGTCTTTGCCGACTCCAGCAATAAGATGTCCAAATTTTTGGGTACATATGATTTTAATTGCTTGCCCTTTGATTGGGGTTCTGATTACAAGCTTCCTAATATCCCAGAGGTAACCATGATTAACTTGTAAACATTTTGTTACTACTGTGACAATCTTTAATAATTTCTTTGTCCCTTCTTTTCAAACCTGCAGAAAGATCTTGTTATTTATGAAATGAACGTTCGTGCATTTACTGCTGATGTATCAAGTGAACTTGATCCAAATTTACGTGGGAGCTATCTTGGCGTCATTGAAAAGGTATAAGTGCTTTACTTGGCCATACTTGTTAAGATCACGTTGTGTACGTTTTTTTGACCTAATTGCTATTTAGTGCAATTTAATACAGTTCTTTTGCATATTCTGTCATTTATATAAGCAAAGTTTAGAGGATCATGATAATTTTCGAAGTATCAATTTGAAGTTCAACTTTTTTTCTTTTATCTGTCTCAGTTGTTCGGGCTGTAAATTTCTCTGTTACCAAAGTGTTAATCATTTTTAGTGAGTAATTAAAAAAGGATATAAAGTCGAGATCTCAATTGCCTTCTTTACATCCCTATCATGAGATCCGATTTGTCAATTTAGGTCCTTTAAACTTGATTTGGGTGTATTACAAATTCTGACCCCGTCCCTCAAGCATGTACCAATATGCGAAGCAGATTGTCAGGATGCAGAAGATGCATTTAAACTATTAGATGCCAGATACAGTTTCCTTTGTAATGAAGTTCCCTGTGTGCAGATTCCACATCTTCTAGAGCTTGGCATCAACGCGGTGGAACTATTGCCTGTTTTTGAGTTTGATGAGTTTGAACTTCAGAGGCATCCAAACGCTAGAGACCACATGGTAAATGGAGTGGCTTCGGATCATAACTAAAATAAAATTGTATGGCACTGGTTGGTAAAAGTGCATAACATTTTATAGTCTTCTAATCTGTCATTTTCATTTTTTGCATTTTTAATTCTAGTGGCACTCCTTACGTTTTTGGGAAGTAAGTGTCTGTGTTTTTCTTTGGGATTTTATTCTGTATTAGGTCAACACCTGGGGTTATTCTACCTTAAATTTCTTTGCTCCTATGAGTCGTTATGCGAGCAGTGGGAGAGGGCCTCTAGCAGCATCTATAGAGTTCAAACAAATGGTCAAGGCTTTGCATGCTGCAGGAATTGAGGTATTAGGGAACAATCTTGTGTGCTCATTATCTATGGAGTGACGTGAGCTTTCTTTTTTTTTTTTTTCAATTTTGAAAAATTTGTTATTTATTAATTATAAAGTATTTTGAGTTTTTGCAGGAGAGTTTGGGTGTGATTCTTTTTTTTTTTTTTTTTCAGTTTTGAAAAATTGTTAGTTAGTAATTATAATGTATTTTGAGTTTTTGCAGGTAATTTTGGATGTGGTCTATAATCATACAAATGAAGCAGATGATAAGATCCCCTACACTACTTCCTTCCGTGGGATAGATAATAAAGTGAGTCCAACGAATGTCCTTGTGCTTTATCTTCAACTTTATCCATAATGCTAGACTGTTTGACTTCAGAAAAATCGTAATTTCTGATTGTTTGGGTGTATTTTGGGTCACTTCTAAACCAACACCAAACTAGTTCCAACCTACATGAAGTACCGAACTGGACATGAGTTTCTATGTCTTCCCAACAACAGGGGAACGAAGCCCAGGGACTGACATCATGACCTCCTATAGCCAAACAGGTCTTTAAAAGGCAGGTTTACATGGGGAATCAATCATTGGTATTCCACCATCTGTAAAATACGGTCACCAACCAAATCGGTGTTACATCTTCTGATTCCCTTGCAAGAAAATTTCCGCAGAGTCTCCCTTTGTCTAAAGTCGATTTCCACTCAACATTTCTATTTTCAAAATGCACTTTAATCCAGTCGAACCCTGAGGATCTAGAGCCATACACTAGGGTTATGAAGAGAGAGAAAATGAAATCGAACAAGCATATATAAAATATACAAAGGACTTGGAGGCACAAGATGGCTTTTGAGAGTTTCTTTTGGATTCTTCAGGAGGTAGGGGGAGCCCCTATTTACAGAGTTTTGAGGCTAGGTATCTGAGGAATTAAACGATGTGGGATTAGGATTCAAAATCTGTGTATAATTATAATAGAGAATGCCCATTTTTGATGTTATTTAGTATATTGCCCATATCTTTCATACCATATATCATTAGGAAAGCCTTTTTGATTCCCTACGAATGGAACAGGTCTAATGTGCAAATGACTGAGTTTTCTTGGGGTGAATTCTATAGTATAGGGTATCAGTATGGATTGTTCTGGTATTTTGGGGTGCTACAGTGTACTGGAGAGATCCCATAGGTGATTGGGAGTTCAGCCTTTGGTTTGAGATGAAGATACTACCTAAAACAGGTCCAGAATACTGAGCCGAATCTCAGATGTCTATAGTTCCTCAAACACTTCAAATATATTTTGAAATGATAACCAGTCTAGGTTTGGGTTGGGATATCTTGGTTCTTTCTCCTCTTACAATCAGAGTCATGTAACTAAATTTCCAAAAGCGAAATGCACACCCCAAATCCATTGATACAGGGTGCATATCATAGTTGCGGGGATCTTGGTCAAGGGGTGGCGTTCCCCTTTTGGAATCTCGATCCAGCAATCCGGGAGCTGGAGCCCGAGCGGTACTTGCTTCCTCCCTTAAGGGAATCTCGATCCCTATCTATTGGGATCTCGCTTCCTAATGTAAAGGGATCTCGATCCTTGACTGTGAAGGATCTTGATCCCTATCGATGGGGGATCATGACTCCTCAAAAGATGGGCTGCATTCTGAATATGGTGGGATCTCAGTCCCCTAGAAATTCTTTGAATTTTTTTTCTTCCCATCTGTCCCTCACCTATAAGCTTTGCTGTCTCACTTTGTGTTTCCACTTTCCACCATTTGCTTCCTCTCTTTCATCTCTCACATAACAATGATAACAGTTCTTCAATTCCCTCTCTCACAAAGCAACCCTATGTGCATAGAGCTATAGACTAGGGGAAACCCAACAATCCCTCCATAGATTAATCATCCTTGATCTATCTAGTTAAATATGAAAGATAATCTTACTAGGAACTGCAACTGCCTATCAAGATTTGCCTCTTGGAACTTGAATATCCAAGACTTCTCTCCTATGGTATAGATCTGTACAACAAAGAATATAACAAAATCCCTCATGGCATAGCTCTCTAAATTGTAGGTGTAATTATCTCCATTTTATAAATACTACCGATTACAGAATGCTCTACAGATATTCAGTACCACCATCAGCCTCCAAAACTTCAACAAAAGAATGATTAGCGTAAGTAATCAACAATTCAACAATAACAAATTTTTGATAAGAAATGATAGAAGAAAACTTCCAAATATTCCAGCAATTCATCCAAAATAACAAATATATTTGATTAAAAATAGTCAATAGAGTCCCCAGTTATCACCTAAGCAGGTCACCGGCACACAGTTTATCACTTTATCCATAGCAAGTACATGCTTATTTGATAACGAGATCTTTTCTCCTTGATAATTATATTAGTAATTTACTGCTAGAGAATATGTAAGAAGTTCAATTCTTCCAAATTAAGAAAGAAAAGGAAAAGAAAATGTTTGCTGATGATGGAATATTAAGAAACTCCTAACTAATATCTTTAATCAAAATTCCAACCTGGGAGTGCTTATTTGACAAAGCTTGAGTAGTGCGCATCTAATAGATATCAGTGTGCATTAGCTCATAAGCAAAGCAAGTTGCAAACATCATTAAAGGACCCCCAGGGAAGAGGATGATGTGAGGAACTGTGTAGTTGACAATCATCTTCATGATAAACATTGAATTCAAAGTCTAAACATGACCACCAATCTACTTGCATAACAATCCAGTCTCAGCAGCCAAAACCTGGCTTGGGGCAATCATATTGTCATGCATGCTTAGCAAACTGCTTATATCGATGCACTGCTGCCTCATCCTCAGGCTAGCTGGCCGCTGCCACCACATTTTCTGACCAAAAATCTCTCAAAACCCCAAAAAATCAGATCCCAGTACTCTGTATCTCCCTATCTCTCACCGCCCTAAACCATGTACTCCCATTAGGGGTCCATGAATCCATCCTACAATAGAGATCTCCAACTACTCTCTCTAAAATCTCTGTCAAATACACTGTTTATTTTTGCCTCCTTGAACTTGTGTGAACTACTTAAGGTAGTAAAACACTTGGAGATGTGTTTTTTAGTGTTTTTGATTAAGGTCTATGGACGTAAGTATCAAACACAAGAGATTGGTATGCCTCATTCAAATATGTAGCACGAAAGGAGTGTTCTGATGAAACCTGATCTTGGTGACCTTCGTCTCGATAATGTCCAATAATATGGTGTATCGCATATGATGAGGATCTCATGTTAAAGTCTCCAAAATTTGCCAAGAAAATGTGTATTTTGGATATTTGTCGGATTTTGATAACAACCTTTTAGTTGTGTTTTTTGTTTTGGATAAAATCATAGATGGATTTTATGATTTGTCTTGTGGTCATAACTTGACTTGGTAAATAATTAAAGGTGTATGTGGTAAAATGATTTTTGAAGACCAAGTATGTTCTTTTGCAATAAGATTGGACCATTTATGTTGAAATATCCAGGTCTATGGATATGGTTTTGAGAAGACCCCATAGTCTTGCGAGGTCCACTAAGTCCTTATGAAAAATCATTCTATATCGCCATGCTATTTTTTAATTATTGCTTGTGAAAATATACCAAGTCAAGAGTTTTGCTAAAATAGAAAGACCTTGAGTCATGAAAGTATTTTAGAAAGATGGGAGAAAGTGTCTTTTATCTATACAATGGTTTTATTACCCATAAGTCTTGACTCATGTTTGATATTACTGATTATGTGACATGTTAGTTCTTTAGAATCCTTGATTACCTAAGACCATGAACCATAGGGAATGTTATAGGATGTCCATCTTGTTAGGCCTCCCTGACACATGTTGTGTGGATAAGATAACTTGGTTTGTATGGATTCACAACCAAGAGACTAGTGTGGTTGAACCTATGTGGTTTTGAAAGGGTTTGGCATATTGCGAAACCCAAGGGTATTGAGTTATATTTGACATGAGACTTGCAATAATACCTCATTACATAGGCATGAGAATGCGGATGAAGTACCATGTTATGATTGAGTGGGAGCTGCTACAGTTCCACAATGTTTCCGTTGCTTGGATAGTCAGATATACAATATCCATATGGAAGATCCAAATAACTTAACATTCCAGTGGCAAAACCTGCTTATGCTTGATGAACTAGCCGGAACAACATGCTATAATGTTGCCCACCATGGAACTTGAATATGTGGCATTGGTTGTCTGGCTACAAAAGGGAACAACATGATTGAAGAACTCCCTTGAGCTGTTGAGATACAACCCCATGAGATGAGGGTACGTGATGATCTTCAGCCACAACGAGAGTCCATGATTCGCGATGCGACACAAAAGATGGACTATGACCACGTTCGGGATGCGATTCGAGTAGCAAAGAGAAAGAGGCCTCTTGACTCCCACAGAGGTTATATCCATGAATCCTTGGAGAAAGGATTGATGGCAAAAACGTTTGCCTTGATATGTAATGAGCATGGGAGAGAATAAGTGAAATGCTTGAGAGAGAGATTTTATGAGACTAAGGAAGAGAGAATGTAAGGCCTTCAAAGGCCAAGTGGGAGATGTTGGGTGTTTGTGGCTATTAAAAGCCTTATAAAAGCTTGTAATCAATATTTGAGATAGTGGAACAATGAACTTTAGTGGGAGTATGGTCCAGAGGGACCGAGAAAGGGAAATGTTATTTGTCGATACTTAGACTAGGCTTAACGTGCTAGGCCAGTTGTGTTTGAAAAGCCTTAAATATTTGAGCATAGAGCACAACCGAGGAAGGTTAGCAGGGTTATCCTTTGATGAGGTCGGAGTTGCCCAGGGTAGTGAGCCAAAACTATGTGACCCTTGTGTGTGATGATAGACATGTAGAGATGAGGGCCAAAGCCTCATCATTGAACCATCACATAGCATGTACATATGATAGCTGTATTGGGAATGAGAATCACCATTGAGGGTGATGCGTGTACATGTGTGGGAGATGACCCCTTTGCACCATAGAGTTGTAGTTGCATCAGGTCTGTGTGACTTTGGAGTTGTCTCTAGGCGAGAACCTGTAATCCATAGAATGAGATTGTGTCCCTTCACCTATTGGCTGACTTTGGTAGCTGAATCATGAACCCTTGTGATGGTCTGTGGGTCATGGGAATTGCTGGGTCTGTTTGAGAAAGTGAGTGTGGATTATAGTCCACAGCAGAATATAAAATGCTTCAGCAAATTAATAATTCCTTAACCTAGTTGGATCTGAATCCCATCAAAATTATTTAGAATTAATTATTTTGATGTTAAATGATTTTTTGATTGATAGTTTGAATTTTTAGAAGTCTTTAGATATTTTATTTTCTCAAACTGGATTTATAAACAGAGAGAAATAGAATTTTCAGTATATTAAATATTTAGAGAGAAAAATGAAATAATTGATCTTTTCTAAAAATCATTTTGCTATTTTTATTAAAACACATAATGTATGGGGCCCCACAATAATTTTACATAGTGGTGCATGGGGCCCCCTAAGGGCCCTATACGTGGCACGCTTCACTTAGTGGGGATTTTTTCCTAGTTTGTAAGGTTGTAAAACAAGCCATTCAATCAATAAAGAGAAAAAGGAAAGTTTGGAAATAAAGAGATTTAATTCTCAAGTTTAAGGATGTGTAGAAGAGAATATGAAAATAAAAGATTGTCATATATTTTCCATCTTAAATTTATTTGATAGGATTAGATTAAGGAAGCTGAAGGATAAAGTTCTAACACCTTTCTTTTAATCATGATGGCTGATCTAAGGATTGTATGGCTAAGATCTCTCACCCCACAGGTCTCCTTTGATCAATGTTCTGGATCTGTTCTCTATAAGGATGGCTAACCCTAAGAAACCCTAACTCGAGAGAAAATCTATAAATAGAAAACATATGGCTCCTAATTCTCTACACCTTGAGCTCTCTCTCTCTCTCTCTTCCTCACAAGGTGACACGCTACCCTCTCTCATCTCTCGCTAAGATCTCTCATCTTTCGCTTGCCTCTATTAGGAAATTTTAATAAGAGAAAAAGGGGGCATGCCCCAAGCTTTGTGAAAAGGGGGTTACCATATTAGGTATTGAGACCTAGGGTACTATATTAGGTATTGGGACCTAGCCTACCACACTCGGTATTGAGACCTAGGGGACTATATTAGGTATTGGGACCTAGCCTACAACACTCGGTATTGAGACCTAGCCTACCATATTAGGTATTGAGACCTAGGGTACTATACTAGGTATTGAGACCTAGCCTTCCATATTAGGTATCGAGACCTAGTATACCATGCCTAGGAGTTGAGGCTTAGTCTTGTGATTGCTCCACCATTGCTCTTTGATTTGAAAGGGTTGATAGCTTGAGTTTTCCCATACTTTAAAAGATTTGAGAAAGACCTTGATCCAGTGCGCTATCGGAGGAGGTGACCTGGAATGAGGTGTGCAAAGTCCAGTTGAGGTAATCTTCTGGCAATTTGTTTTCTGTTTATGTAGTTATATGCTTCAAGATTCCAAGATCAAGTTTATTCAATTTGGTTTGTGAAATAAAGAGTTGTGAAAATGACAAGAAGTGAAAGTCCTTGGGATTCTTTGTTTTTTTTTTTGTGGTTCTCATTATGTATTTGGACATCTGTAAGTAATCCGGGTGGTGAAAATAAAGAAAATAATGACAAAAATGTTAGTCTGTATACACTTGCTTGGGTTACATTGTGCAACTTTCAGATTTGTGAACTTAGTTGAACTAGTTTTGTGTTTAAGAGCCTCGTATTCTCCCACGATTTTCCTACTTGATTTGATCTTTAGATCTCTGCAAATCCTTCTATGTTTTAAGTATATATTAGTAGATGCTTGGCTTCCCACTCTTGGGTTGACGAATTTGGCTGGATTTTGAGATATGTCATCACATGTGACCCAATGGCACATAGCTAAGACCCAAGGCCGTAATCCGGTTACTCGAAAGCTCTGATCGGCTTCCCATGTTTATGATGCATTGCACACTTGAGCATATATATTTTGTTGTGATAGAGATCATGTCATGTTGAGTTTTATGGAGCTTATTGGTGTATAATTTTGCCTTGTAATTTTGAGTGGTGGAAAATTTTCAAAAGCGCCCTATACATGTGTAGTTTGATGAAACTCTTTGTGTAGCTTGTTTTGTTCATGGACAAAGGACCCTAATTGCGTTGTATTGTCTAATTTGAGTGTATTTTAAAATCAATCATTTGCTGTAGTCACAATGACCTTGTTGTATTTTCATTTTGAGAGTTGAATTCCATGTGTATTGTATAAATTTCAAGCTGCATTGTCTTGTTTTTGTCAATATTGTCTCTCCAAATGCAAGGGATTTTGTTTCTATCCACTCCCATTTACCAAGTTATCCTAAGTTTGAAATAAATTTCATATATGCCATTTAAAAGTGTTTGCTGTGAACTTTTGAAATTCAATGAAGAATGAAAGGGGATGGTGGTGCCCCTAATGTGATTGTGAAAATACCTTCTAGCCATCCTATAGGATTAAGCTATTTCAAAAGATTCACATGGGCTCAAGCCAATGGGGTGATGCCACACAAAAAATAACTTTAAAATATCATTTCCAGCGATGGATTAGGGTTTAAGCCATAATTTTACAGTATATACCCAAAACCCTAGACACATGTGAATGAGGCCACGAGTTGTAAAACACCATGTGACTAAATAAATCACTTAAATTATAAAATCTTTTTTGTCATTTAAAGCATTATAAAACACGATTGAATAAATATACAAAAGACAAAGGACACACCATTGTGTTTAATGTCATGCTGATGTCAGCCAATGGTGGGCCTTGTGGGATGCTACATGTCACCCTATGGCCACTTGGATGGCACTTGGGGCTCCCACTTCTTGTCCTCAAATGGAATTTGGGTCAAACAAATTAAATGGATCCTCTTTTCTTGTTCTGAAATATTTGCAAAAAATCCCAAAATTTTTGTAAGTCATTTTCTATCGTAAATACTCATTGTGGCATCAAAATAAAATTGGACAATTGATAAATTAGATCTTTAGGTTGAAATCTAGGTATAGGAGTACTCTATTACTCTTGTCTAGAATGACACTCCATTCTCTCAGAATGACACAACAAGCCTATGTTCCACAGTTTGTGTAAGGGATAGGGGTTTATCAAAGTCACCTCAATCAGTATCCCGTCATTCTTGGGTGTCAGTGGATTAGAAGTGCACCTTTAAGGACATATATACTGAGATCCTCTCAAGGCACTTGTGCACACACTCTTCCTAGTTGGGTCACACATAAAGAGTGGCTTCCCATGCGACTGTGGGGCACATGCCTTATCAAGGCATTGTCTCATGTCCCATGAGTCATGACCATCCTATACAAGGCCGTTACACTTAAGGTGCTCGAGTTTTAATCTCTTCTTGGTTCTTTTAGTCCTGCCCAACACATAACCCAATTTTAATCTCTTCTTGGTTCTCTTAGCCCTGGCCAACACATAACCCATGAGGCATATAAGTCTAAGTCTATCCTTGCCTTGAGATGACCCTCACACCTCTAAAAATCAATCCCTCTCGTTCACTGGCATTTCTTATTGCCTCATGTACTTGAGGTATATAATTTTAGGCCCTAGTGTGCCTAGCGCCGAGAATCACGATCTCGCATTCACTCCTAGTGAGTGAGGGAATCTTGGATTTAAGGCATTGAGATACCATAATTCCCATGGCGGGATACTAGAGAAAAACTGTTCACACACTCTGAACGGAATGGTGCTGTTCAATGTTGAAAAATGAATGTACTATGAATCAAACTCCAATCTCTTGTTTGATATTGTCATTAGCTATGTACTTTTGATTATAAAATGCCAATTTTTCCGAGAATTCTTTTGATGAGTCTCTTACATGAAAGAAATTTGATGACTCATTACTTTTTATAGTGAACTTCCTCAAAAAAAAAAAAAAAAAAAAAGAGACAAGAAAAGAAATTTTAGGACTCATATTTGGTTTTGTTCCTCTGGTCTGTAGTGTGACTGTGCTGGTCTAAACATATTTAGTCCTTGTTAATGACATTTACAGCTTTTTATAACTTTGTAGTATGGATGCAGCCTTGGGATAGAGTGTATTTTAGGATAATGTGGGTCTTGGAAGAATATATGTAGGAATTATATGTATTTTTGTTACATGAGTTCCACTACCTTTCTGATATTTACCTTATGCATTTTTTGTGCTCCATACTTGATTGGAGATCCATGTATGTGGCTAGCATCTTGCATTTTAATTTATAAATAATTGCAATCCTAAATTTATTAATACATTCAATTTAAGTAATCATGAAATTTATCTGTTGATATGTTTTCATAAGGATTTTTGTGCAATCTATCATTAAGCTGTACGTTTATGGAATTGACCTCGTTTGATAAGATCTCATTTTGACTAAAATGTTTTACAGGTTTATTACATGTTGGATCTTAATAACTCCAATCAATTTCTCAATTTTTCAGGCTGTGGTATGTTCTGTCCACCTTCCATATGACTTATATGAGCTGAACTTTTGAGTCGCCATTTTGATGACAAGCTGAATGAGAGACTATAGAACGTACCTGATATCATGAATAATTATAATGTATTATACTTTCAGAAAAAGAGTTGTAACCTTTAATTGTGTCCTTTTGGGGGACAAAAAGAAAACTTTTAGTTATGTGGTTTTTGATCCTTATTTATTTATTTTTGAATTTGTAGACTGTTGTTAAGTAGTATAGAAATATACAACCGTGAGAAGGGGATGAAGTGCTCAAAAACTGTTGCCCAAATCCCCATGGTGGTGCTGCATCCTGTTCCCTCCCTAGCTAGGGCGTCGACTGCTACATTGATGTCCCTAAAAATATGCCTCCATGAGATGTGAGTAGGCCTGAAAATATGTGAAATTTTGTCAAAGATGTGGATCATTCTCCAGGGATACAGTCCATTGCCGGAAGCCCAAGAAATGATGTTTTTGGAATCATCCTCCACCACCAGTTCGGGATTCCAGCTGGTGTTGAAATTCCCAGCACCTGCTAGGAGGACAGGAGATACCCGTCGTGGTGGAGCCAGCAAGGCTGATTGAGAGGGAAAGGGAGTGAAGGATGCTTCCATCGTTCCTTTGAAAATTCCCTTGATGTCAGAGCGGCCTAAGTTGCCAAGTGAACAACCATCAAAATTGAGCTTAGTTCTGGCGGTGTCCGCAGAGAAGCATGTGAGATCTTGATGGGCCTCAAGTTCAAAAGAGCCTGCCAACTTTGGTGAAAATTAGTGTGGGGGAAATGTTTGAAGGATTTCTTATCAGATTTTTTTGCCCTCTCTATCAACCTATCGACTGTGATTTCTCCCCTCAGAAGGTCCTATTGTTCCTCTACAGCCAAATTACCCACAACTTGGCAGACATAGATGTCATGTAGAGGGGAATGCTGGATTCTGACCAAGGCGGGCTGAGGAAGGTAGAAAAAAGGTGTGGGATCGACTTTAGAGTCAACCACGATCAACTGAAAAATGGAAGCAGGTCGTTTCAAAGGGATCTGGCAAGGTGGCAAGCGATGAACAGAGGAGCATTGGTTTCTTCTGCCTTCAAGCACATGACGCATCTGTTGGGTGTCGGAAGACCCCTTCTTTGGAATTGGTCGATGGTAGAGCTATGCAACTAAAGACTTGGATTTTGGGTGGGATGAGAGGGAACCAAGCTTTTGCCACAATTGAAGGAGGAGCTTCTGGTAGGAAAGGGTGGTTGGGTTTTTGTGGCCATTTAAAGGCCTTATGAGAGCATGTATCGAAATTTCACGATTTTGGAATAATAAACTCCAATGAGAGTATGGTCCAGAGGGACCGAAGGTGGTAATACTGATGCCATGACTCAAACTAGGCTTGACGAGCTAGGCCGAGTTGAGTTCTAAAACCCTATGATACTTGAGCATATAGCACAACTGGGAAGGATTTGCAGGGTTATCCTTTGATGAGATCGGAGAGATGCCCAGGGTAATTAGGCAAGGGACTTTGTGTGATCCTTATGTGTGATTAGTATTCCTGAAGGGACGAGGGCCAAATCCTCATCATGACCTTCACACGACATTATACATATGTTAGCCGTATTAAGAAGTGGACACTATTGATGGTGTTGCATATACATGTGCTAGACATGGCCCCCATACACCAATTGTGATGAGTGTGCACAGGTTTGTGTGACTTAAGCTTGTCCCAAGGAGGAACTTGTAGTCCATAGACTAGGATTGTGTTCTCATCACCTATTGGCTGGCTTTGGTAGTTCAATTATGAACTCTTGTGATAGACTATGGGTCATGGGAACTATTGGGTTAGTTTGAGAAAGTGAGAGTGGGACATAATCACCAGTAGAGATGGAGCGCTCAAACTAAACAACATTCAAGTCACAATGCCTAACAACCTATAGGGGCATGAAAGAACAACCAAAGCTTCATGAAATAAGTCTTATAGGAAAGGATTACCTTACTATAAAGTTTCAGAGATAACAAAAAGAAGACTCCAAAACACCAAGGAAAGGGTCACCTTAAGCTCTAAGGAAGGGCCACCAAGATTGCACCTCAACCGAAGTGAGAGATGGGAATGAGGAGGGATGGGGCCTCTCTCACTTTGTTTTTATCTGCCCCCCCCCCCACATCCCACATCAAAGCAAAAGACAAAAGAAGGCCACACGTTGGGGGTTTAGGGTTCCTCTTTAATTCTTTAGGATTGGTGCCTGAGTTATATTTATAACATGGGAGACAGGGTTTTGAGTTGGCCTTTAGTTGGATTGAATCCAAACCATACAATTAGAGTGTCAACAGCTTGGAGAGGGGCTTGATCATAACCTTCTAATCCACACCTAGCTATCATAGATGTGTGGCTTAGATTTCTCCATCTTTATACCTACATGTGTGAGAACAACTCCAAATTTCCCAAATAAATTAATTCCTGAATTTCATAAAATACCATTGGCATAACTGCCCTTGCTTTTTGAATAAACTATGAGAAGAAAATTTTATGGAGGGCATACCTCTCAAGTCTATGCAATACTCTTCTCTCTCTAAATTCAAATTCCATTTTGATGTGAAGAAGGTTTTCTCTCTTAACACCTCATCCCCCTTTCACACATGTGGTATCATAAGCTCACAAAAGTGTGCAATGAGATGAAGACACCATAAAAGTCACTTTAGATATAGGTTTTCCATGGCTTGAGGGTCCCAAAATTTAAGGAAAATGAGACATTTTCCTTAAAGTATCAATGGTCTCATGAAAATATCCAAGGTTTCACATAAATCACTACTCTCACATGTCAGTGGGTGAACAAACTTGCAAATACCAAAATAGTCCAAGGAACAAAGAGGGGGGCGTCCCACGCCAAGGGCTGATGTCACTCATATGTCCGTGACTCGGCTAATGTGTGGCAGATGTTAGCAGCCATATTCCACCTCCCATTGGGGCCCATTGGCCATTTGGGCCCCATGGGGTGGTGCCCTTATGTGTCATTTACCTCGAACAAAGGGTGTCGGTGGGTTTCCAAGTTCAGAAACTTTTTCAAAAATTCCAAAAATCATTTCTGCAATTTTCATTAAAGCAAGGTTTGGAAAAAAATTCTATTTTAGGAAATTAAGACCCTTAAGGAGTTCATTCTTAACCTCTTGGGTAGTCCACTTGGCTTGGTTTGGAAGCCCTAGGTGCTTTCTCAAAATTAGCCCAACGAGCCCATGACCCAGAGTCTCAAGCTGGGGCTTAATGTTTGGCCCATCAAAGCTAACCTGATGGGCGACTGGGTCCCAGATGTAAAGTGGATTGCAGGAGGTCCCCGAGGATATACACTCTTGGGATGTGAGGGAATTCTCTCTAGCACGTGCATCTCTCTCCTTATTGGATCTACCTAAGTGAGAGTCGCTTCCCATTTTGCAACTGTCATATGTACATGTCGTGAATGGTATTATAGTAAGGGATTTGGCTCATGTCCTCTCAGCGTCGATCCTTCTTACACAGGGCTCAATCACATACTCACGAAAGCATATCTCCATCCACATGAAGTTACTCACATTATCGTAATGCCCTGGCTTGTATCAATCATGAAGTGATCTCACCGACATGTCCAAAGGAAACCCTCAAACCCTTCTTGGTATAATGTCCTTAAACTGAGCCTCATAATCTGGTGTTTTAATGACTCTATGGACACCAACTCTGGAACCTAGTTCGCACATATTTGACAAGTCGCACATCCTTGGTCACTCCCACTATGGCCAAGAACCAATAATAAAAATAAAAAACTTTGGAACCCGACGATTGACTTGTCCCTTGAAATAACTGGCCGATTTTGTCAAAGAACTGACTTGTTTTGTCAAGAACCGGTTGATTCCCGATTTTGTTTGTGAACCTGACCGGTTCTCATTGATTCTGATCTAGATCGGCTGATTCTTGGGTGTCGTCTGCTTTTCATTCCTTGTATAAGATTCAAAGTTAATTCGGGGGACAGTTCTTTTATGGAATCATGGTTGGATAACTAATCAGCCCCCTTGAAAGATACTTGGCTCAATCTCTTTACCACAACTAGTAACCCCAATGCTATAGTCGCCCAATATTTTAAATGCAATGGCCTTGATCAGAACTAGAAATCCACCTTTTGGGGACTACTTCATGACCATGAATACGAGGATCTAATAGCCCTCTATGACAGTCTAGCCTACATTTTCATTATTGGACATGATCAGACATGGTTGAATGGGCTAACAAACACACAGGCGGCCTCTTCAGTTGCTTCTTGCTACAAAATTATTCACCCTGCCTCCTCCCACACACCATCCATACATAATAAAGCTTGGGTCACACATCCTTTGAAAGTCCAATCCTTCACCTAGCTAGTGATCTCCAATCGAGACATAACTTTAGACTGCCTCATGAGTAGAGGTTACAACCTTACAAATAGATGCTCACCATGGGGAGGAGAAGAAGACCCCCACTTGTCTGTTTCTTCATCGTAAATTAGCGTCTGAAGTTTAGGCCAAACATTTCAAAGACTTTAATATGGGATCCATTGAACATCTTTTCTTTTCTTAGTCTCCTAGAGCTTGACAGGTTTATTTCTTTGGAGGGCCTCCATCTTGTCTATTCTTTAGTCTATATGGGGGAGAGAAATCCCCAAATCTTTCAAGAACTCAAGAGATTTGCATGTGCAAATGTAAGAAGAGCCAGAGATCTTGTGATTGTTTGGTTCAATAACAGCAAATGTCTCAAAAGCTTCTCGAAAATAGATTTCAAATTGATTTGGCAGGACATCTTTCAATCTTTTCCAAAGAAAGTCTCATGGTCTAAAGCATGGATCCCCGCCCCCAAGGGTTTGTAAAGGACAACATAGATGGATGCTCATTGGGGAACTTGGGTCCATGCAGCACTCATGGATTTAAATACTCGAATTTAGACTTCTATTCCATCCATTTTAGTTTAGGCAATTCCATTTGGGCTAAGTGATCACTCTCCTTGTATGCAT